TGAAGCCCAGAGTCCACAGCCAATGCTGCTTCAAAGAGCCTCCCTCTACTCCATCCTCAACTGTGTGGTCTAATCTTCCATTCCCAATTTCCTTCAGCCACACTGGCCTTCTCCTCCCCAAATGAGCCTGTGGAGGCCTTCCTGTGACTACTGTGGGTCCCTCAGGCCTCTGTTTTAATGTCACAGTCCATCATTATTTTATAAAACACCGCTTCCTGGCACCCAGATTCTTGCCTAGTTCCAAATTGTATAGCTCCTGTCACCTTCTGATACTTTTCTTATATTCATTCATTCATTCATTCATTCATTCATTCATTCATTCACTCATGTGCCAACTCCCCTGTGAACTTCATTTAGAGTGGAACTTTAGGTCACAATGTTTGCTGTTGGATCCTCAGGACCTCGAAAGTGCCTGGCACAGTGCAGGGAGCGTATGGAGTTTGTTAAAGGACTGTGAATGTGGCCTAGGGATAGATGATATGGTAGCATTATCCCAATTTACAGAAAGTCTGGCAAAGCGAAGTGCAATTTACCACCTCAAGAAGAATGAAGGCAGCTCCAGCCCTTGTCTCCGTGGCTCAGTGCCCAACTGTGATTCATCTCTTCGTATCACCCCCACCAAAGCCGAGGTAACATCACGGAAGAGGGAGCAGAAGGATTATGAAAACTGGAGGATGGCAAGGAATTCAGCGAAATGCCGTCTTCTGGATCTAACATCGCCATTGCGATCCTGAACACACAGCCGCTCCGATTACCACCACAAGACCCGCACACAACAAAAGCAGACAGGAGAGTAGGAGAGGAGCCAGTCAGGAGGAGAAAGGGGCTCAGCGGGGGCAATGAGGGTGAATACCATCATGACATATAGGTACATAATTGTAAAAATTAGATACATGTAAATTAAAATTCTAATAATTAATTAATTTTAAAAAGCTCCATCAGGGGACACACTGGCACTGGCACACAGGATCCCCAGGATGTACACCTTGGGTCCCTGTCCTAGGGCTGGACCTGGAAATCTAAGATGGGGTCCCACATCAGTGACATCCTTCTGTCCCATGGCAGCTCCTCCTACCATCATCAGCTCCTGTGGAGGATGTGGGTTTTTGAAAGCCTTGGACCACTCTCAGAGGCAGCCTTTGACACACAGTTAACGAAATAACAAGGCACTTTACCCATTCTCCGATAGTAGTATCTTCTGTCCCCAGGCCAGCTCTACAGCTCTGATATCGCAAACTAGTCCCAGGTTCTCCTGCTCCTCCTCTGGGTTCCAGCGAAGGTGGAGTCCCCTCCATCCTCTCACCTCCCATTTCCTCATATCCCCCATCAGTTCTGCAGGGTTATTGCTGCTGGCCAGTGAAGGGGGGCTCAGAGGTACTCTGCAGCACAAAGATGGGTAAGGAGTGATCCCAGATCTTACACAGGGATGTAGAGGGAACACCCAGGGTCCACAGGGCTGAGGTTCACTGAGCGCAGCCATTGGCATATTCAATTGCCACACGATTGCATCCAATTTTGACATCCCAGTGTGCAGAGGCAGAGGTGGAAGGCCTCTACCTCTAGGCAGCCTTCAAGTGGGGATCCAGTTTGGGTCTGGGGCCATATGCATACTCCATTCCTAACTGGCATCCTGACACTTTGTCCCCGTGTCCCACTGAGCCTCTACTTCTCCAGAATTCCCTATCAGCAGGTATACATGGCAACAAAACATGGGAGCTCAAGAAGGCTTATATGTATGTGGGGGTAAAAGTGACCCTCTGGAAGTGACTATCCTGGGATCACACAGTGCTGAAATATACCTGAAATCATGTACCTTTAGGGCCCTGAACATGTACCTGGTAGGGTATGGTATCAAACAGGACACATCTCCCCTAACTGCATGATTCTTAGAGGCCAGCAGGGCTGACAGCCCCTCTGCCATTTCCCTCTTAAAGATGCAAAGAGAAGAGAAGATGGGTATAATGGTGATAGGCAATGCAGGCACCTGGTGGGGGCCAAAGTTGGTGCAGGGACCTGTTGTCCCTAGCCTTGAAGGTCCTGCTTGACTTCCGTTCAGGTACCTCCCACTTCTAGCAGGATTTGCTCCTGGACACCCACCCCAGGCCCAGACTCAGCAGCCCCACTCACTAGCTCCCTCTTCCTACTCCTGCTTGTTTCCAAGATTTCCCCCAAACCTATCTGCCAGCTTCCTTCTGGGCAACCCCTGCCCATCCTGCCTCAGCAGTGGCCCTCACTGTCACTGCACAGCTGGGTCCTGCCAGCCTCTGGAGCCTGGATCTTTCTGCCTTCAGTCTCTGCTCCAGTGCAGCCAGGCTGGGCCCCAGATAGTTTTCCTAGTGACAAGACCATGTCCTCCACACTTCAATGGCTCCCCTGTTGTCCTTAGGGTGAAAAATCAGTCCTTCAGCCTCCATGTCACCAAGAGCTGCCCTGAATCTGCGTGACTGTCACAAGGCATTTCTGTGAACATAACTGTACATCTTTGTATAGCTACTCCCTTTGCAGAGAACCTCATTCTCACCGCATCCACATAGCTAACTCTTACCTATTTGTGAGACCAACTCTCAGGGGCCTTATTTAAAGAAGGACTTCATCAGACTCCTTTCTTCCTCTTTCTCTCCTTCTTTCCTACCCTCCCTCCTTTCTTTTACATTTATTTATTTCCTTTTATGTATATGTATGAGTGTTTTGCCTGCATATATGTATACGGACCATATACAGGTTTGGTGCCCACAAAGGTCAGAGGGGGGCCTTGGAGCCCCTAGAACTAGAGTTAAAAATGGTTGTGAGCTACAATGTGGATGCTGTGAACCAAATCCAGATCTCTGCAAGAGCAACAAGTGCTCTAAACCGTGGAGGCATCCGCCAAGCCCCAGCAGGTTCCTTTCTGTTGGCCTCCCCAGCCCACGCAGAGCCCCTGCCTTGGGGCATGTTCCCTTGAATGTCAATAATGCTTCTTCTTTTCCCGCTAGACTGTGGGCTTCAGGACGAGGAGGTAGGACAGTAAGCCAACCGGCTCTGGGGCCTCCACCTCGGTTCCTGACCTGGCTCTGTCATCTTCTAGCTGAGCGGCTTCCCGCAGCTGTTCTCATCTGCTAAATGGAGAAAGAAACCGTGTCATTGCTTGCGAGGAGTTGTGAGAACGCAATGAGTGTGAAAGCTTCAGAGAAATCGTAGCACATAGCACATGCTGACTAGGCACGTTTTTATCGCTACCCCCAGATCCCACGTGGACAGCCCCCACTAAGGACCTGTTTACTTGGCAAATGACAAGTTACTTCTGCTGTGTCACAGCTGTCTCTAAGTGATTCTCAAACTCAGATGTGTTTCAGAACCAGCTAGGGCCATGTTAAAAGAAAAAAAAAAAAGGTAGACTAGCTGTGATGATTGATGTAGATTGCCAACTGGACTGGATCTAGACTACCCTAGGAGGAGACACATTTCTGGGCACATCTGTGAGAGAGTGTCCCAGCTGGATTAATTGAGATGAGAAGAATCATTTCAACCGTGGGCAGCATGGTCTTTTGGTTAGTGCTCTAGAATGACTAAGGAGAACATAGCCCACTGTCAACTTCATCTCTTTCTGAGTCTTAACTGTGGATACAATGTAACCAGTCACCCCAGGCTCCCGCCACCACGATTTCCCTGCCATGGAAGATTGTACACTTCACTTGCCAGACAAAATAATCACCTGCTTTTTAAAGTTGCTTTTGTCCGGGCAACAGAAAAGTAACTAATATACAAACCAAGTCCATTAGGATAGACCTGGGCTGAGCCTTTTAGAAAGCTTTTGTACCATATTCTGATACAAATGTTTCGCCCCTGGGTGTAGAGCAATACCATGAGTGATAAACCAACCTTTGCCAGAGCAATCTGAGCCCTGGGGAACCTATCCAGGGAGCCCCTACAGAAGATGGTTGGGGCGTGGCCTGAGAATGGAGAATTCTCAACCAGTCAGAGGGCCCCGGTGGTTCCCTTTCCTGGATTTATCTTCTTGGGGTTACTTTCAGCAAGGGCTTTATTTTGTGCTGATGGAGTCTAGCTCTTGTTCAGGGCCAGCACCTGCATACAAATGCCAAGAGCAGTGGCCTGCTCTGGCTCTCCATCCTTGCCAAGCCCTGGGCTGTGAGTTCTCAGTGGGGCGTGGAAATCCTGGGACTCCTATGAGGCGGGGACCACCATGCCTGTCCAGCAGGAAGCAGCCTGCCTGGGGTCCCTTTGAGAGTGAGTGTCCCCATGAGAGAGTGGCTTCTGGAAGGACTTCAGGGAACTTGGGAGCCACTGGGACAATTGGAGGCTGTTTGGGGGGAATGAAGCTGGCAGGGACCTGGCACTCGGCTTTGAGCCCCTGCAAGGCTTTGCCAAGCTTAGGCCTGGTTTCCCATTGCCTGTCAGCTCCAGGGTGCTGGAGAAAAAGGCCTGTGGAATCCAGTGCCCTTCTCCAGAGTCCACTATATAGCGGGAAGGCTGCGTGCAGCTTGTTTGTTAGTTGTGAATACATTCTGCCTAGGCCTTGCAGTCTGGCTGACTGGGGAGCAGGTATGCTTAGAACCAGCCTGGCCACCAGATGGCTAGAGACGGGGGCTCCTCTTCTGAGCTGCCAAGGGTATGCATAGGCCATGGAAGCACAGAGGTCTGGCATGAGCTTCTATGGGCTTGCTAACTCCGGGTGGCCTTAGTCAAGTGCCTTGGCTGGAAAACTACAGTGAAGGAAACAAAGCATCCCCCTCTGCTGCAAGAGGCTGGGAGTGGGAGCTGGTGGGAGCGCAAGGGAGAAAAACACGGGCTGAGCGGCATCCAGAGTGGTGGCATAGGACCAGTTTCTGCCAGGAGGCCAAGGAGGTCTCTAAGCAGAGCTATGCGGAGGAAAGGCTTCCAGGCCGAGGGAGCAGCATGTACAAAACAAGCTGAGCAGGGTCAGGTCCTGCCTGTTAGAAGAGCCCCAGAGGCCAGTGTGGCTGAGCAGAGGGATGGAGATGGAGAGGGAAAGGGGGCAGGCTCAGCAGGAAAACCCTTCACAAGCACCATCACGCCAGAGCCACAGATGGGAAACAACACGTGCACGCACGCACGCACGCATACAAGTTAGACAAATGGTTGAAGGCCGCACAGCTGGGAACTGGAGGTACCTTCGCTGGGCACCCGTTCAGTGTGATGGTCAGGGTCACCCAGGATGTGGCTGTCATAAAGTGAAGGGTCCCAGGTAAGACCAGCCCACTGGCTGCTGGATTGTTTCTCCTGTTACCTGTAAGCATATTTAGCAAGTGGTCCCTCCACTTTCCTAGGCTTCAGTTTGCTTCTCTGTGAACTAGGACTAATTCTACCTGTCAGGTGGCTGACTGGGAGAACAGCCTGCCTGAGACATGGTGAGTGATTAGAAAACATCACCCCCGTAATTCAGGTCTCTACAGTGGTTCTCTGGGCCCCCAGGGCCTCCTCTGTCCCCAGGCACTGAGTCTGCAGGCCTGGGGCCTTTATGAAGGATGTTCTGTGCAGGGCCTAGAAGACCAACCTTAGGGCTACAGAACCTCACACAACTGGAGCTGGAGACCCTGGTGTCCTCCTCTATTTCTCCTGGAGGTCTTGCTCTGCAGTTGCTCTGTGGCATCCACCATGCTTGTAATTACTTGTTTAACATCTGTCTGCTTCTCTTGGCTGCATGTTCTTATCTCAGCTGGCCTTGCTCGTTGCTGGGTCCCCAGCACTGAGCCGTCTGCCTGGAGCGTGTTTGTTAAGAAAACAAACAGCCTGGCGGGTGGAAGGAGCGCATATGTGGATGCTCTTTGGAGCAGCTGGACCCAGGGTCTGAGGCAGACTTGCTGGCCACACACCCAGTGTGATCTTGGGCTCAAGTTCTCTGTGAATTGAGGGGGGTTTGTGGTGCCAGCGGATCTCAGGAGTGCTGGGGGAATCTGTGCAGCAGGATTTGGAGGGCAAGGGAACCACATCAACGAAGTCAAGGAGGTGGCAAGGTGCGCAGCAGGTCCACAGACTCCCGACATTGGGTGGATGGGAGCTCGCAGTGCATGGTGGGATCTGTATGAGCTATGGCTGCATGTGTTGAGTTTAAGTGTGTGGCACATTACTGCGGACAGGGAGGTGCGTGCTAGGAAGCCGAGGCAGAGAGAGGGTACAGTTCTCACTGATGTTTCTTGGGTGGGTTGTGGCAGTTCCTACCACTTTGAGTAACTAATGCCCTTGGCCTCTTCCTTTCCTAGCCTCACAGGGAACTAAGTGGGCCAGATGCTGGGTGATTTGTGGTTAAAAAAACATTACAACTCTTACCCTTTGGGAAGGGGGTTCATAAATCCAGAGACGATGCATGGAGAAGTGGGACAGGGCAAGAGATGCTAGGGGTCTCCAAGGTCAGGCTACTGGACTTGAACTTAGGCCTCCTGAAGTGGGCAGCCTCAGGACGCCCTCACATTGCCCTGACCATGGCGCTGCAGATGAAGAGATACTGAGAGTGAGAGCTCCCTGCAGACACTGAGCTTTTTTCCTTGTGGGCAGCCTAGCTCAGCACCTGTGTGCATTCTGCCTCTGAGTGTATATGGTAGTGTGTGTGTTAAGGGTGGACCCAGTGCCTCCGAGAGGGGGAATTCAATCACAGCAATCGTTGCCGGTCCTCCGTGGCACAGGGTCGCGCAGCAAGCTGGCACTGGAATATTTTGAGCTTGCGGTAATGAAAGAAAGCTCACAGCAATTTGGCCCATCTTCAGTCTTGAAAGCCGCAGCGCGACAGTCAGTCATAGGCGGCTGGGATTATCCGCTGCTAATGGGGGCTTCTGCTCCCAGGCCGGGGAGGGGAAGGAGGGCTCAGAGAGGTTAAGTGACTTGCCCAGCATCACAGGACGGGTAATGGGAGGGCAAAGTCCGAGGCACAGTTTGGCCTCTTCCCCTCCCCCAAGGCAACCCGGCTCCCCAGAATGGATCTTTGCTGAGTTTCCTGAGCGCTGGTTTCCATAGCAGCAGGCCATTCCTGCACAATAGATTCCTCCTCTTCCCTGGGCTTCCTGGCTGCGGAGGGGATGCAGGGGCGGGGATGCTCCATCGTAGGGGACTGCTGGGTGCAGGCTTCCAGGAGTGAGAAGGGCCACTAAGGTGGCTTGGGGACCACCAGCCCTTACAGAAACCCCACCCCACCCCATACCTTGATCAAGGTTCCCATTTCCACTCCTGAGTTGGCTCTGCTTTAGATAATGAGTGGGGACCGAGAAGAGAAATCCAGACTCAACAGAAGCAGAATGGGAAGCGCAGGCAAAAGCAATTATATGGAAACTAAGGCAGGATAAAGGGTATGTTTGTCTGCGGGTAAATCATTTCATTTCTGCAACCTTGGGAATGGAGGCTCTGTCCACTCCTCTTACAGACCGGGAAACTGAGAGAAATGGGTGCTTCCCAGAGTACAATCCAAGAGCCAGCCTCTCTCCCCTGGGAAGGCCTGGTTAAAAATGCAGATTCCCTGACACCCCCCCACCCCCTACCCCCCCCCCCCCCCCCCTCCCCAGCACTATCACATATCAAACTATCACACCTAGATTTTTTTATGTGGGTGCTAGGAATCAAACAGGCATGGAAAAAAATAGAATTAAGGGCATTCTTAGTGTAAGGTCAAGGTCAAAACACATCACCTCCCCTCCACCCTACCCCCCACTCCCACCCCCGCCTACAAGTCCAACACTCTGGAGTAGAACCACAACTGCACTCAGGCAGCTCTCTGGGAGAATTTTCTAGAAGGCTAAGTGTGGAACTAGCACTGGTTAGAATGTCCATCCGAGGTTCAACTTGGGTTTATGCAGCAGGAAAATGTAGAGCTAGGGTTTAGGGCCCAGACAGGAGCAAGAAAGAGAAGAAATTGACAATGAGAGGATTCTTAAAGCAAGACATGTGCCCCGGAAGAGATGGCAATAAGTAAAAAAAAAAAATGTAAGGCAGTAGGAGATGCAGAGACAGTGGGCAGAGGTGCCCTGGGCTAGGAGGAGGGGCACATGGGATGATTAGAGCAAGCTTTCAGTGAAGGTGGCTGCCTGTCACTCCAAACATGGCTCCTCCTTAATCCCCATGGCAGCTTCTCAAGGGAGGTTTGTCTGATGCTTCGATTTTCTGGATGAGGAAATTGAGGAGGGAACAGATTACCTTTGAACCCTCTGGCTGCTCGGGAGGGGTGCCGGCTTTAATCACCAGGCTGCCTTTCAGGGAAAAAGCTCAAGGGCTCTGACCCACCTTCAAATCTTGGTTCTAGCACTGACTAACTAAATGGGGGAGGGGTTCTTATCACCCTTTGCCCTCGGACTGACTGACTGGGTCAAGGGGGAGGAGGGGCAGCCAGTGGATTCTGCTAAACAGAATCATCCATGGGACAGAACCAGTCATCACCTCGTGTTCACATCTGCTGATGTAAGTCACCGGACTCCTAAGGGAGTCCTCCATCCGGAGACTCACGAAGTTCATTCCCAAGTCTCTTTGGCACAGAGGTGGCTACACCCACCATGAGCATTGTTGTGCCTGTTGGACATCTGCCAGGTATCCTACCCACGTGGTATGGGTGCTTGGGCCATAGCTCTGGGGACTGCATCCTCTGGGTACTCTCCCAAGGATGTACTTGCACGGGCTCGTTTTTTTCCATGTCACACTACGTGGGGCAGAGGGACGGCAAAATCTGGGTGGTGTTGAGTTGCTCTCCTCCTCTTGGTTTCTGTTCCCAAATGTGATGGACTTGGGATGGGGGTGGGTAGCTAGTTGACAAACAAGCCTTGTGATCACAGAGTTCTCTCTCACAGCTTCTTGGTTTTACTATTGCAACAACACAGACCAACTAGAAGTGCTCCTGCCTGTTAACTCCGTGACTATATTGTGCTGCATTTTACAAAACCAGATATTTGGGACTCAGCTTACCCTGGCTCTGTCCCTTTGATCGCATTTTACAGAGGTGAAGACTGGGGCACAGGAACTCTAAGCAGAGTGAGAGAGAGAGAGAGAGAGAGAGAGAGAGAGAGAGAGAGAGAGAACTGCACCCCACCTCCACTTAGGTTCCCAGACCTATTTCCTAACTACCTCTTGGTTCTCAGAAGTGTGTGTGTGTGTGTGTGTGTGTGTGTGTGTGTGTGTGTGTGCAGAGCTAGAGCTCTAAGATGGTTTCGCAGAGGAGTAAGATCTAGACTGAGGCTTGAAGGACCAGGAAGAAAGGCTGACAGGCTGGGAGCATGACTGTTAAGTGTAAGGTACCAATGCAGGTAGCTGGGTGGCACTGCTCAGGGCCGGAGCCGGAGCAGACATCTGGCCTGTTTGCAGAGGCACAGGGCTCTATGAGCTGAGAATCCGTTGCAATCTCCTCTTGTCATCTGGTTACACTCGAGAGGGGTCACACTCGAGAGGGGTCACACTTCCTCCTGCTCCCAGGATACATCTGTGCTCTCCACCTACAGAGGAAAAGCTGGGTCCTTGCGGTGGTCTGGGAAGCTCCGTCCTGGCTGAATGGAGCTGCTTCTCTTCCTTCCCCTGTGGCCTGTCTCCTCCTTGTTCATTCAGCTCCAGCAACACTTTTGTGGGTGTGTGGGGCACATTCCTGGCCCTTCTGCCTGTAAGGCACTTCTCTGAGATAGCCATGAGATACCGATCCCCTTACTTGCTGTATTCATAGAAAGGCCTTCCTTGACTTTCTTACTTGAAGTGCACCCCACTGCCACACTTATCACACTCCCCACTCCCCTTCCTTCATTGTTCTTTCACAGTACTTAATCGCTGTTGACATGCTGTGCATGTTACTTGGGTATTTGTTTAGTGTTTGGCCATCTCCAGTCGCCAGGATCCCATCAGCTCCAGCAGGAACAGGATTTTCACAGTATCCCTAGCACCGTACCTCCCCCCTAGTATGTTCACAGCATTCATACTCTACAAGTCACTTTCTCTGGTTTTGCCAGTTTGGGAAACTGAGGCTCAGAAAAGGCACAGGTGCAGGTGTGTGTGTGTGTGTGTGTGTGTGTGTGTGTGTGTGTGTGTGTGTGTGTATGTGTGTGTGACAGGTACCCAGTAAGTCGGCAGAGAGCCCCCTTCGGGGCTGTCCAGTAGAGAGCAGCCTCATTTGAGGTCATCCCCTCTCCCGAGGCACCAAAGACTTATCCCTCCTGGGCCTAATGGTCTGAACTAATGGCTACAGCTCTAGGTAGATGGAGAAGAAAGAAGTACAGTTGAGGCCCCAGGGAAGAGTGTTTTAGATGAGTTCATAAACTGAACTGTGATCTCTCCCACTTCCTTCTCCCCATTCCTACATCCTAGTGCTTTAGGATGTGATTGTATTTGGAGACAGGGTCTTTAAAGAGGCAATTAAGTTAAAAAACGAGGTAATATGGGAGACTCTTAATCCATACCATGATGTCTTTATTTGAGGAGCAGATCAGGGCACAGGCATACACTGAGGGAAGACCTATGAGGCCAGAGGGAGCAGATGGCCTTCTGTAAGCCAAGGGAAGAGAACCCCACAGGAACCAATTCTGCTAACAGTTTGATCTTGGACTTCACCCTCCAGAACTGTTGAGAAGATAGATTTCTGTTGTTGCAGCCACCTGTAGTACTCTGTGGTGTATTAATTGTGTGTATTAATAATGCAGATGCATTAGCCCATCCAATTCTTACATGAACTACAAGGTAAATGTTATACTGTTCTTATTTTACAGATGAGGAAGCAGGCTCGAAGTGGGGAAGTAACTCGTCTGGGATTGCACAGTTCAGGTTTGTGTGGAATGCAGAGCTGCAGCATCATGTGGTCTAGTGGGAAGGTGGGGGATTTCCTAGAAGTGACCTCGACACTCTGACATCTGTACACACTGTCAGGCCAGTGTCATAAGAGTCTTAAGGACTAAGGGATCCACATGGTTGGAGTGTTCATCCTTACTGAAGAGAGGATGGTTTCCAACATTTGGGTCTTAAGGCCCTTTTATGCTCTTTTAAAAACGAATGAGAACAAAACAAATGAGAAAAAAAAATCCAGTTTTTGTTTATATCAGTTTATCTTCCAAAGCTACCATGTTAGAAATGAAAACAGAGGCATTCCATTAGTTATCAAAACAATGGAGTTTTCTTTGTAACAGCCCTCCAGTGTGGGTATTGTTAATATCATCATCCCATTTTATAGGCGAGAAATCAAGATCAATGATGCTAAGTAGTCCTAGGGCTCCTAAAGCCGGGTTGGACTATAGGCACCTTGGTTCCAGAACTCAAGCAGTGAACTACTTTTTATGGTACTTGGACAATGTCTTAGTTGCTTTTCCCATTGCTGTGATAAAATGCCCTGGCCAAAGGAAGACAAGGAGTATTTTGCCTCACAGTTTGTGGGTATAGTCCATCACGATGAAGAAATCAAAGGTGTCAGGACTTGAAGCAGCTGGTCACATTGCCTCTGCTGTCAGGATAAAGGATAACAATGGATGCTTGTTCTCAGCCAGCTCTCTCTTTTTTCTGCAAGCTAGGACCCCTGCCTAGGGAATGGTGCTTCCCTCTTTTGGGGGGGGGGTCTTCTTATCTCAGGGTACCTGATCGAGATAATCCTTCACAAGCATACCCAGAGGCTAACCTAATCTAAACGATCCCCCTCCCCCCAGGTTTGTATCCCCATCAGACCTAAAACTTGCCAAGTTGACAATAAGCACTCCCCATTACAGACATGATACAGCCATCCCTTTCCTACTAGGGAGTGGCCATTGGAACATTCTTCTGCAGGCTTGGGCTAAGTCTGCAGCCTGTCTGGAACAAGGACAGGGCACAAAGAGTTAACCTTTCTCAAGATAAAACTTGAAATTGAGAGAAGATTTCTTTCCCTAGAGGCACACCAGGCATCCCACACCCAGGCAAGGGTGAGAAGTCTGCTCTTACAGCACAAGCCTTCCACGAGTTATTTATTGAAGTGTTGTGGCACCCTTGCCACATCCCAGAGCCTCTGGATGGAGGCTCCTCTGCAGAGTCTGCGATTACCCAGAAAGACCAGAAAGAAATGAGTTCTTTGAAGAGGCTGAGGTAGGATAAAACGTGGCTGAAATATGCCCTCCCCTGAAAGCCTTGCCCAGCCCACGTTTGCCTTTACTAGCTCGAGTTCCCTCTGTGGATATTTGCTGAGGACTCCTGTGTGCCGTGTACCTTCTCAGTCAGAACAATGTTTAAGCCTCACAGCAACTTTGTGCAACTGGTCATTTGCAAATTCAATCTATCAGCACTTACTAACACCGACAGTGTGCCTAGCAGTTAACTGGGTACCTGGAGCACAGTGCAGAGGAGAAGACAGGTAAGGACCTGTCTTTGGGGAAACTCATGACCATATGGAGAAGACAGGTGAGGAGAGAGGCAATCATGGGCAGTGCTGGTTAAAGAGAAGCATAGGGCAAGGACTGGGCTAACACAGACTAGGAGCTCAATAAAATATTTGCAGTCATTAAACTGAGACATCCTCCCATGGTGAAAGCTCTAGGCTAGATCAGTACCCACAATTCTTCTAGATGCATTTAGCAGAGGAAAGTGATGCTAAATCTTCAGCAAGGAGGGGAGGGATGTGTTTAGGAAGCTGATGGCCACAAACCTCCACCCAGTAGGTGCCCATTGCAGTGTGGGAATCACCATCCTTACACTTCTGTTGATGAACCCAACTCATTGTTGAGAAAAAGCAGACTTTGAAGGGTTACTTTTTTTCTTGAAAGGTAGTTTTTCGGAATGACTAGATAAAGGGACCCAACAGGGCTGTCATCTCTGCTTGCCTTTGTCCTGCTTGCAAGTTTTTAACATTTAGAAGAAAGGATGATCACTAACAGGTAGCCCAAAACTTACGTGCTCCAAGATTATCAAGTCTGCTGGGAGAGAGGTTTTCTTTCTCCTACACAGTGAGTATGTGCCTACGTGGTTTGTCCAGTTTTTAGTTCCAGAAAAAGCATGTTGTTTCTACACTGAACTCATGACCACCCTTGTTTGTGGGTCTTAACAAAAGCCCCTATAGTGTTGAAAGTACACTTTGCCCCAAAGAGACTCAAACAAATAATACTATTGTGTAGCTGTTTTCTCTGAGATTAAAACCTTTTATTTTGGAGAGAAACTTCTTAAGGCAGCAGGTTCTAAGGGTACCTGTTGCTTACAGGTAGCTCATTTAAGTTAAGTATCAGAAGTCAACAATTCAAAACAGTTTCAGGAAGTCCCTGAAAATGATCAGATTCACAAGGGCCCTCCCCCAAGAGTATATAAACATTAAAGACTGTTGAGAGTCAACAAAAAAAGATTCTCAGACAAGCCCTAGAGATGCCTGAAGGAAGCAGAGGCAAGGTCAGCAGCCTATAAGAAGGAGAAACCCACTAACCTGCCCAGAAGAAACAAAGACCAGCAGAGCTGCCTGGAAGAGGACCAGACCAACCTGAGCCACCTGGGAAGGACACTTTCCAACCTGTTGAGCTGCTACAGACTGTGCCATACACTCTAGGCTTCTAGCTTTTGTGAACGGTCACCCATGTTGGGTGGGCTTTGGTGATGCAGCTGCCTTTGAATCATTTCTGCTCCTATAAATAATCCCTCACTTATATTCCTATAAGTAACCCCAATAAAACTCATTGGTTCACTAAGTTGGACTTTGGTGATATCTGTACTTGGAGTGAGTAGATGTGTGTGTGTGTGTGTGTGTGTGTGTGTGTGTGTGTGTGTGTGTGTGTTGCATCTCCCCAGGAAAAGTCTGTAATGCAACAACTATCAGGCCCACAGTGGGGCACCTTATGATAACTATCCAAGAGCAGCTGGCCTATCACACAGTCCTGGAAGTCAAGGGGGGGATGGATGACATGACAAACAGGTGGCTAACATATTTATTAAAGGCCAGTTAAAAACTCCTAAAAGAAGACAGAGGTGGACCGTGTGATTTTACAGTGTTAACGGTGTCTTTTTTTCCTTCTTCTCTGGCTTGTATTCAGAATAATCAGTCACAGGAGCCCAGAGAAGAAAAAATGCCAGCTTGTTACAGACAGAGCTGCTTGGAGAACACGGCTTGGGCAGACAGGCACCCAGAGCTGACCCCTGTGGTGCTGAAACCACAGCCTTATCTCTGCAGACATCGATGAGCCCAGGCTCTCCTGAGGCTTGGCAGGGTTGTCTTCAGGGGCTTGCCCCAGTTGAGGAGAGGATGAAATTCCTCTCCCACTCATCAGTCTGTCCAGGCACTCTGATGGAGACATACCCTTCCTCAACAGTGCACCAAAGTTAGCCATCAGAGGTACAAGCCAGTTTCCCCTTGGGGTGGCGGTGTTCTTTCCTGGGGAAGCTAGTGGAATTTGGGATGGGTGGCAAGTCAGAGAAAGGAATATACTCATTTTCCTTCTTTTTCAAAAATGATGATGCAAAATATTACAATCCAGTGTGAACATAAAAATTACAGAGAAAATTGCTGTAAAAACGCAAGCCACCTGCCATGCATGATCTTATCCTAACTAGCATTATATATTGGTGTGCATCCCTTCGGCCTTATGAGTGTTTAAACAAATGAGGGCATACTTAATAAGTTTTTATCTGGCTTTCTCCAAATTTCTGTATGAAGCATTTGAGCATGCCCACAAGGCTGCATGCAAGACAAAGAAAGCAATCATGCCTGTTTGCTCATTGCTGATCCCCATGGCTAAGCACCTATGCCACGTTCTAAAAAAATATAATAGTCACAGGTAATTGATTAGGCAATGTGCAGCTATCAAAGCATATCATTTAATCGCCTCCTTACCATGAGTAAGTACAACAAAGTAAGTACAATAGTCACTTCTGTGAACCACGTCTCATAGAAGAGGAAACTGAGGCCTGGAGAAATGACTTAGCACCTCTTCCCAGACACCACAGTGCAACATCTTCACAGGGGCATTTCCCCACTCAATGTGTTTGCTTACAACATTTCAGTTTTCATCAGAGACTGGGGGAACAGCTCTGTTTCTACCCTAGGCAGGACTTAGCAGACCGTCCTGGATTGCTCACCGCCCCAGGAGTCCTTCACCAGAATGGCTGTGGGTCTGCTGTCACTTGGACCATGTGAACCATGTCAAGCCTTTATCCACTAGCTGCCCTGGGGCATCTGCTTGCATCACAGATGTCAGGCTTCCACCAAGATCACTTCCTGCCCTGCAGAATTGTGCAAGACCATCCTCCAATCAACACTGCTGCCATCTTCAGGAGGGCTGGACCTGATCACAAAAGATCATCATAGCTGGGCTTCTTGACTCTTATATTCCTTCCTAGAAGGAAGGGGAGGTGCTGAGGGTTATGGGATGGTCACCCGAGAATCCAGCCCCTCCTCCCAACCAGCTGTACACAATTCTGCCCCAATTGCATGTGGCTTTGAGGACTCAGGAAGGGCTGCAGCCCTTTTCAATCCATGGGTTGTGACCCCCACAGGGGTTGCATATCAGATATCCTGCACGTCAGATTATGATTCATAACATCACATCACATAACTGTAGCAAAATTACAGTTTTGAAGTAGCAACAAGAATAATTTTATGGTTGGGGGTCACCACAACATGGGGAACTGTATTAAAGGGTCACGGCCTTAGGAAGGTAGAGAGCCACTGGGCTAGAGTATGTAGGTGGGGTAAGACTAAAGGGGGGACCTCAGTTACATAGCCATGAGAGCGTCATCATGCCTGCTGGGTTCAGACCTTCCAATGTGGCTGCTTTAAGGTCCCCTGTGCCCCTGCCTGTAACCTCTTACCCCTGCTCTGTAAGAAGGGCTAACTGAGTGGACTTTGGTGAAAGCACATCTTGGTTTGCATTGGGACCTAAGGAGGTAGGATAGACATCATCACATCCCCCCCCCAAGGAAAGAATTTGAGCAGCAAGAAGCCAATAGGCTGAATGCTTTTGATGGCTCCCCATCCCCATTTGGCCTTTCTTTCCTGTCACAGGGGCTGCGTCCAGATGCCCATCTTTGTTTTTTTGTTTTCCCCTATAAATGAAATCTAGTTTTTTTTTTATCCAAAGAAATTCCAGTAGCCACATTATCAGTGCTTTTACATTGGTTCCCTAAGTTCCAATTCTCACAGCATGACAGAGAAAGAGCCATGTAATCCCTACACAGTCTAATATGTCACATTATAATAAAGAAGGAGCAAGCTTCAGGAACCCAAGCCCTTTACAGCTTGTAACAAGCTGGCCTGCTTTTTGATTCAGAGGGGTAATGCGAGTCTCCACGAGGACTCTTTGGCAATGGAAGCTGCTCTGCTTCTAAGATGTCCTGGGAACTAAAGTCCCCTAGGAGCAGCTTCTGACCAAGAGTAAGGACTTGTCACTCCAGCTCTGGGGCATGCCAGGAACTGGCTTCAGAACTCCCAGTGTGGTAAGACTCCCGTTGCCCAGGGTGGTAACTGGTTTGTTAACAGTATTTCTTCCCCTTCCAGGCTGGAGCGTTCTGCTCTGGGGTCACCTCCATTTGAACCTGGATCCTTGGTTCCCTTCTCCTCTTCTCCTTCACTCCAATACCCAGCACTGATTGTGGAACCAACTAGCTCCCCCATAAGTGCAGGCAAACTCTCCTATGTACTCAGATTCTAGGACGCAATGAGGTCAGGTCAGGATGACATCCCTCATGAGGCTGAATCTGCTGTCCAGCACCATGGTACCCAGAATCAGTGGTTCCATGACTTTGAGTGGCACGGCTACTTGGGAATGACTGGATGGATGGATGGATTGTTGGATGGATGGATGGATGGATGGATGGATGGATGGATGGATGAATGATGGATGTGAAACCAAAACTGAGAATGCTCATCAGCACTGGGCACAGACTGCATGAAGTTGGTAGAGAGGAGAGAATGTAGGAACATGGAGATGCCAAGCCTGAGCCAAGAAAGTTGTTTTGCTATGGAATATATTATTTTTGCAGGTTGCTATAGTTACCGCTGTGAAATTAAAAATTAAAACCTTGTGAAAGAGAGAGGGTTGACTGAGATGAGGCAGTTCCTTGACAGGCTGAGTTATTTATCTTTTCCCCATGTAACATCTGGTTACGTGCTTGCAAATTTATTTTTAATTCAGAGCTCTAAAAAAGATTTTGCATTGATATGCCATGCAGAAATGAATCACTTGGGAGAGAAAGATTAACGGGTAGTATCCATTGGCAACTGGTGACCTCTGATGTGTCCCTTGGCCTTTGCTTCTGCTTCTCAAGCAACCTCTAGGCATCAGTGTAAGACTGGCAAGCATCTGGAACCCCTGCCAATCAAGCAGCAGCCGTAACCATGGCTCCCAGATACAGAGCCTCGCTGGTGGCTGCTCTCAGTTCTAGTGACTGTGACCAGGAGGATGAGCGTGGCTCCTGGAGAGAGGCTTTGAGATCCTACCTCTCTAGTCTGTTCCCCCAACCTGTGAGTCCCTCAGTATAACCCAGGATCTTTTTGAGCCTTTGAATCAGATCCCCAGAAAGACAATGTTTGTGGCTCAGTGGAGGTGATACTGGGTGGAGCTAGAAGATGTGGGATCTGGGTCCAGCCCAGACACTTGTGTGTGCTTGTGAAAATAACCCTTCTTTTTGACCCCCCATTCACCTACTTCTTCAGGGAGAAGTTGGAGTCTGCAGTATTCCCTAATCCGGTCCTAGAAGTCTCAAGATTCACCAAGCACCTTGTTTCCTCTCTGTCACCTAAAGAGTAAGGTTGGGATCCCAGGGTGGGCTTCTCCCCACCTTTCTCTCACCTCAGGCCTCTGAACTGGGTGTCTCCAGTACACAGGGATCTCTTTACTCATGTTCCCAGGTCTTCCTCCTCTGCTTCACCCAGGGCTTTCCCACAACCCAATGACCTCTGCTTTCCTCTTCTGGCACCCATCCCGGCTGGGCTCCCCAGCTCATGATGCACAGTTTTGGGGGTCTATGCGCTCTTACCATCATCAGGCAGCTACCAGGTGGTCCTCTTCTTGGTGGATTAAAGATTTTCCCCCAATACATTGCTGTAGTTAATTCTATTTGTAATTGTTGCTCATCCTTTACTGTGCTCAGTTTAAACTTTAGTACAAGTTTACATGTATGTACAGGAAAAGGTGTGCATGACTTTCAGTCATCTCCTTGGGACAAGGGGTGACTACTGTAGTATAGTTTCTTCCTGCCTTCCTGTTGTCTGTATCAACAACAGAGATTATCTGTCCTCTATGTAGAGAGTAGGGTCTACAGTCTACACAGCATAGGACTTAATGTTTTTTTGAGTAAATGAATAAATGGAGTGAGAGGATAAAGAAAACATTTCTCATTCCCCACTGTATGCTAGACCAGGTGGGGATAAGCTACAATGGGAAAGGAATGTGACCCTCACCCCACTCCCCAAAAAGCCTCATAGGCTAGGGAAATGAATGCCAAAGGCAACTGTATAGGAAGAAATCAGTTCTTATGACAAAGGTCTATGCAGCCGAGGCATGTGCATGCATGGAAAGGTCTATGCAGCCAAGGCATGTGCATGCATGGAAGGTCTACGGCAGGGGGCTTTTTTTTTTTTTTCAGTGACAGCACCCATCCTGTTGGGCGTAAAGGCTAAACAACGAGAGTACTAACAGCCACCCTGTACTGAGTATTCCTTATTATCAGACACAGTGTTTTAGAGAAGTGAACTGACTCTTTTAGCCCTGTAAGATCACTATTATTATTTTCCTGTTGGGTCCCCAGTGTCCAGGAGGGGCACACCGCACATTTATAGATGAATAAGTCTCCGTGTCATTTTCAAGGCATCAGATCTGACAGAATGGTGTTTTGTCTAAGAACAAAGAGGGAGCCAAGTCTGTTTGGCTCTGTCCATGGTGGCAAAGGGGACCTTCCCTGCATGTGGACTTATTTGAGTCACCTTGGGTCCTGAAGAAATGACTCTCCATCCCCACCCCTCATCCACCAGCACAACTGGCTGACAGCATTGGGCTGAATCTGAACAGTGCTGGGCTAGGTGGACCAGCAACCAGGAGAGGGCTTTCCTATCAACAGCAGTCATGGCCTGGCCTGTGTCTTTGAAGTCTCTTAGCTGTCGTCTTCCACTGCGTCTGACTGGGATGAAGTGGGAGGATCAGGGAACATTTTGTGGGCAGACATATCCAAACTTCTTGACAGGTCTGGACTCATCACCCTGGTTCCCCACATGAGTGTGCTCCAAATTCACGGCTGAAGCCCTGGGCTTGTACGCTCATTGGAGGATGAATAATTAACTAGCTACCGGTGCCAACAGCTTGGTGCAGAGGGTGGTGGAGCTGACAACACAGTGTCCCAGCTTGACTCTGGTTTTGGGGAGGGGCTGTTGTTTCTGGCAGCCAATTTGGTAGAGCTGAGAGCAGCGGGTCTCCTGATTGAGGGGCCTCTAAGGCTGTTCCAGTGAACAGAGGCACGATTGGAGAGGCTGTGTTTCCAGATAAACCAGGCGCAAGTCAAGTTGCCTTCTGGACAAAGGGTGACCTTTAGGGTCTATTCTTAGCTCCTTCCCATTCCTCATCTCTTCTGAGCAATGGCAACTTGGGCTCCACTTTGAGCAGGAGATTTGGACCAGTAATGCAAACTCAAAATGCCTTGGAAAGTCAAAAGCACTATCAAGAGGATCTCTTGGTCCCTGTCTCGCTGACTGCTTTGCTCTAGACTATGAACTCTGGTAATAGGGACTGCTGTGCTGAGATACACATGGCTTTAGGAAGTGACCTGACTGGGGTGTGGAGGGGGGAGGCATAAAGAAAGGACAGACACACATCTACAGAAAAACAGAACCAGGTGGGCACTCTGCTCCTACAGAGATGCGCAAGCAGCAGCCCAGAAACGTAGTGCGTTTATTTATACAGCTGAACAAGGAAGTGGGCTTATTGTACTCAGAGGAATGAAAAGGCAGATTTAGTTAATCTTGGTAGGAGGTCTCTATAGGGGACCAGTCTCAGGCTGCAAACATCCAGGGGGAGGAAGCTGCTGTTGACATTTCACACACACTGACAACATCTGCACACAGACCAAGGGAAGACTTCACCATTTCCTGAGCCTGACCTCAGGAAGGCTTTGCCATTCCCCTGGTTCTGAGGCATTGGGGTCCTTGACATGGCTGTGCTCTGTCAACAACACACATCCACTTAGCACTTCACCTGCTCCCCACACTGCTGGCTTCACTCACCTGTCAGCACTGGGAATTTGGCATCATGTCCCTCAGTGCTTGTCTAGACGGCACAGGAGGTATGGTATGATGGGAACCATAGGCTAAGCCAGATGTTTGCTCAAAGTTGGTAGGATGGATTCTCGGGACCTTGGACATTTCTCAGGAGTGGGGCTTAGGGCAAGATCCATACTTTGTTCTTCAAGATCCTCGAGTTTGTTCATGTAAACCGTTCTGGTGGCTGGCCACAGTGTGGCCTGAAGAACAAACAGCATAGGTGCCTTTTCTGAGCCTGGGCCAAGCAAAGTCCTGAAGCTGGTACATTTGGAGAGGAGAGGCGATCACACACATATGTGACAGTGTGATAGTGTGTCTGGGCTCAAGAAGTTCTTAGGTCCTATTTAGGCCCCACTCTTGGGAAATTTAGGAATGAATATAATGCAGCTATAAGTAACATCAACTATTACTGTATTACTGTTGGCTATAATCCATTTGCCCTGTAAGGCGAGGAAGGCTAAGTTAGTCACTGGGGACTGAGGCTCTGTTTGCCATTTTTCCTACCTCTAACAGGTACCTGGTTATTCTCATTCTTGGTGCTTTGTGATTATAAAATGGCTTTTGAGTTTCAGGAAATGCACCCCTTTTCTGTGCAGGAAAGAGGGAGAAGCAATAACCATGGCTGTGAGAGCTTTGTAAGGCACCGTAACACCTGAACACACACAAACACAAACCTTCTTGGTTCCATCGGGGTCGTGTACCACTCCTAGTGAAAAGGGAAAATGAACACTTGGCTTCTCTGGAGCCACAATGACAGGAGCTATTAGCTGTCTGGAAGGCAGCTGTGCACACACGGTAGCTCTCTGAACTTGAAAACCCTCTTTGTCTACGAGCACTGATAATTTGCACTTCTGCAAAGAAAGCCTGCTTACCTCTGATAACATATGTGCATGACATGGGCAGTGTAGCTAGGCTACAGGATCTGGTCCCACTCTGCCGAGCGCCAGCTGTGTGTCTCAGACAGCCCCCCGACTCCTCTCTGTGCCTGCACTTGCTCCACTGGAAAACGGAGCATGTTGTTCCCCAATGGAGGGATTTACCACGCTGAAAAAAAAAATGATCCCGGAAAGAATGTTGAGTCATGTCTGACCTTTCTTGGTCATCAAAGCAAAGTCAACACAATCACTAATGTTGTCACTGTTGTGACTATGACTCCCATGGGGAGATTAAAGAGACAGATCACTATTGTTATTATTGTGACTGTAGTTACCACTGTGAAGTGTTCCTGTGGGTAGAAACAAGGCCTAGACTCCTAAGGCATGGCCCAAAGACCTGTTGGTGACTTCAGACAAACCCCATTTGCAGCCAGGTACTCCCTTTGTAGGGTAGAGGCTGGTCCCACCAGTGTCCTGCCAGGCCTCCGATGTACTTACTCCCCCGACTCTGTCCTGAGCCCTGCTGTGGAGGGCAGCCAACCTGAGCTGGGAGGAGGCAGGTTGTGGCAAAGTTGGAGGCTCTCTTCCAATGGCCGGTCTAGGCCTCTCCCTCATGGGCTGAGGCCCCTCTGTGCGCAGACACCTCATTCCTGTATCTGGTTCCTGGCCCCTTCTCCCTATGTTCTTTCTCTCCGGACACTTTCTCCTTTCTCCATACATTCATCCTCTCCTGACACTTCAGCCTGCTTCCTGCAGTGGGAGGCCATGCCTTGGGGAGGGTTCCCTCTGGGCCAAGGTCCACAGAGTGTGCACTGGGAGGGAGGGAGAGAGGAAGAGGGGGAGGGAAGGAGGGAGAGAGGGAGGGAGGTGTTTTCTGAAAGGGTGGCTAGGAGACCTTTCCGCCTTCTAGAAAGGGCCTGTCTCCTAACTTCTGGTGATCTCAGCAAGCTCTCATTCTTTTCTATGCCTCAGTTTCCCTATCTGCTCAACTGAAGAGCTGAGCAAACTGCTTTTGATGAGTAGGCACCTTTCTAAGTCTCCAGACAGCATCTGAAATGCAGGTGTCCTCATATCAACTGGGGTGTCATAGGCAGGGACCAGAGGGGATGGGCTTCCGGGAATTCCAGCCCTACGCCACCAGGCAGGGCAGCAGGCTGTTGACTGTTTCTTACACAGCATCGACTGAAGTTTTCAACACACCATTTTAACTCCGAAGTTAAAATGCGAAGTCTGACAGCAGTAACTAGTGGGTATAGATTTACCATGTGTCAGGCATTTTGCTAAAATGTTTCACACGTATTAATTTATGATGTAATCTTCCAGTAATGCAGTGAGGAAAGCACTATTAATAGTTTAAAATTGAGTAACGAGCAATTGAGTAACTTACCCACGGCAGCTCAGCAGATTGGGGAATCTGAAAACAGTTCACTTGGCTCTGAACTACTGCTGTTTGTTTGGAGGGGGAGGGGAGCTAGCTCATCTTTTCTGATGTTGGAATCTCTCTTGCAGCAATTCTCTTCGAATTCTTTGCTTGGCTTCAGCTTGTACACCTGCAGGGACGGAGAGCTCACTACCTCCCTGGGGATCTAGCTCTGGCTGCATCAGTATGAAAACACTCCCTCAAGTTTGTGGAGTGCTTAATAAGTCTTCAAGACTCAGAGTGGTTTCCTGGGAAACAGAGCAGCTTGCTCAGCCCCCAGGGACATGGTGTGGTCTGGATTACAAGTGAAGAAATTTAGAAAGAGCCAAAAACCTCACGTTTTGTTGCCACGGGAGAGAGGACATGTTGTGGACCCACAAGCAGAGGCTTATTGTGTGAGTTGTTCCCGCCTTGAGCTTAGTCCGTTTTGTGCTGCCGTCCAGAGTTCTGCAGACCGGGTGACTCATAAACAGGGAAGTTTGTGTGGAGCCATTGTGGTGGCAGCTGTAATCCCAGCAATCAGGAGTGGAGGCAGGAGGAACGTGAGTTTGAGGCTCCACAGTGAAGGCTAGTCTGAAGAAACCAGGGTGTAGATAGAGCTTAGTGCCCTGGGTGTGGTCTCCAGCACAGCCAGAGGGAAAGTTGACTGGCTTGGTTTATGGGTCTAGAGCAGTAGTTCTCAACCTGGGGGTCAAGACCCCTTTGGGGGTTGCATATCAGATATTTACATTATGATTCTTAACAGTAGCAAAATTACGGTTATGAAGTGCCAATGAAAATAACTTTATATGGTTGGGGGTCACCGCAACCTGAGGAACTGTATTACTAAAGGGTTGCAGCATTAGGAAGGTTGAGAACCCCTGCTCGAGAGGGCTATGAAGACCAGGATCAGGAAACAGGCCTCTGATGAATGTCTTCTTGCTGCCATAGCAGAAGGAAGAAGGGCAAAGGGGAGCATGTCCATGTGCACACAGATGATAGACAGATGACAGACGGGAGCCCCGACGGAACTCATGTTTCGGGGCCTGCCATCTCATTAGTCCATGCAGGAGGGTGGCGCTCTCAGGATGCAAACATTTGGCCCTGACTCCTGATACTGTGACAGGGGAATTACAGATTAAACTTCTCGGGAGACAGTTCCAAGTCACAGGACTGAGCATCAACCTCACTTGTGGCATGTCCTTTACAAGACTAGCTTCTTCCCAGAGTCCTCAGAAGGGTGATAGAGCATAATGCACAAGAGGTGCCAGGCAGAGCTAGACATTAATGTGTCCTGGGAATTTTGCATTATCTGTATTAAAATCCAGTCTCAGGCTAGTATTTCTGATTGGTCAATGGTTTGATCATACAGCAAGTGAGGTCAGGATGTTGACTCTTGACTCCAAACTGTCCTGTTTGGCATACAGAAGAACAGAGTCCCAGGGAAGAGGAGGAATTTGGGTATTCCAATTAGTTGGTGGCCTAAAAAAATAGCCCATGGAGCAAAGTAAAAGGTAATTAGCCAATCCCATGGGCTATCTTAGGAAATGTGAGGTCCAAGATCAAAAACAGGCCCCTGAGAGGACATTGTCTCCTTGGCACTAAGCTTTCTAGAGATCACCATTGTGGGGCCACAGAGTGTTCATCCTAATATCCAGTGTTCCAGGAGGAGTGTCCACACTTACCTCTGAGACATGGAACAGGAGAGAATGCCTTTAGTGTCTGAGGACATAAATGCAGGAATGTACCTATGGCTGAGTGGCTCCGTGGAGAAAGCAAGGACTCAGGAAATGCAGGAGGCCTGAACCCAACTGCCCTTATGTATGTGACCACCCTGAGCCTCTGTCTCTTCATAGAGTTGAGACTGTTGAGAGACTTAAAGGTGACACGGACAGCTAAGTAGCTGGTCAAGAGAGAGAGAGAGAGAGAGAGACAGACAGACAGACAGACAGACAGACAGACAGAACTTTAGTCAGAAGCTGGGCATCTCTGGCCCCTGGAGTTGCACTCTGCTCCCACCACTGGAAGGGCTCAATATAGACCCACTGGTCCAGTCCTTTTGCTCCAGACTCCCCTCTCCTTCATGTCCTCCCTGGACCTGGAGGCAGCTGTGCCAGCTCAGGGAGGAAGGTTCTAGAAGAAGCACCTCCCATTCCCTGGAGGTGTTTGCTCAGGGCCACCCCAGGATGAATATTTCCTTTTATAATGTTGCTAATCACTTTCCCCTGCAGGCAGGAGCCAGCCTCTCCACGGCTCCTGCAGCTGTGGTGCCCTGTGGGCTCTTCATCAATGTTACATGGTAATTAATAATAGATTCTCCTGCTCCAACTCCTGCTCCCTCTGACAGGCTGGATCTTCCCTACCAGATGAGACCGAAATCAAAGGCCTGAAATTGCAACTGGAAACATTTCTTCCAACAACTCGAGGGAAGAAATCGTGACAGCTTAAACTACGGGTAGCTCCAGCATTGGATGACCTTCTTGCTTTACCCTAGGACACCACAGATGAATAGTTCTGCATCAAGGACTGGAGACTTTCACTATGTGTTCAGAGGGGGTTATAGTCTAGTGTGTCTTGGTGTGATGAAGTAGATGGCAGTGGAACTCAAGACTCACTCCTTCAACACATGCCCGGCTGGTGCTGATGCTGGCAGTCCAGGCACCCCTCCCTGAGAACCACTGCTTTATTTACTACGCACAAACAGAGTTAGTAGGTACTTGGCCCAGGGACATGGAGTGAGTAAGGCAAAGTGGTACCCACACACTTGGATAGAATCAACTCAGGGCGTCATGTGATGGGTTAGAAAGCAGGTTCTAGAATTAGATGTGCTGGATTCAAGGCCTGAGTCTGTAGCTACACATGGAAGAGCCTCCCGTGTTTTTGAAACTGTCTAATGGGAATAATTATGTATCATGTCTCAGTTGACCAGAGGGACAGTTGAGAAAACAGATGTAAAAATATCTGCTCAGAAGTGTGAGTAACATAATGTGACTTAGCCTGTGGTTACTATTGTTACTGGGTGATTGTCCACAGTTGTGTGACTAGGTCTTGTGGTAGAGGGGTGACATTCATTTATCAGTTCGTTCCACACAATTATCTTGACCTCCAAGAACATTCTGGGCGTGGGAAACACAGAGGCAGATGCATCAGCCACAGATCTCTCCTCTCATGGGGGTGGGTCGGTTGGAGGCGGAACTTCTTAGCAAAAGGCACATGTATTTACAAGACTCCAGAGAAGTGTGACATGTGACAAAGAGGAACTAAACAGCCCAGGAAATAGATGCTTTGTTAGGGATCAGAGTCAGCTGAAGTCCTTCTGACAAGGTGTCCACTGGAGAAAGAGCCCACTTATGAAAAGCTAGGACGTGTCTTGAGGAGGGTGTCCTAGGAATGGTAGGCCCAGGTCTGTGCAATGTACCCCAGCTGCGCATCTCATGTTGCTCATCCTCTAAAAGCCTTCAGAGACTCCAGACCTTTGGACTTTAGAAGAACTAACCCCATCAGATATATATATAACCCCTGGGTATATTCTTATACTCCAGGCCTGCTCAACCCGGCTAGCAGATAGGAGCAGCTTCAGAGGTGGCCAGCTGCATTGACCATTTTCTTGTCAGAACCTGGCTTGATTGACAGGTCTGAAGGATGATAATCTGACCTTTACCTCTGGTAGAGTAAGAGTTAGAGCACTCCTGGCTGTAAATGCTTTGCAAGCTGGACACTTAATAGGTGCTCCGTGAATAGCCTCCTGAGGCTTGGCTCCAGGTGAGGCTCCTATCAGAATTCTTATTGTGCCAGGGTGTGTGTTCTGTTTGCATAAACTTACATAAAACTTCAACTCTTGCATCCCTTTTCTGCTGTTAGTTCCTGTAAGTTCAGGCCATCTCCCTTTTCTCCACTACTCCCTTTGCTCTTTCAAAGAATTTCAAGAGTTAATCAGGTATTCTGGTGTGGAAGCTGTTTTGATTGGGGCCTCTTTTTCGGGAGGAGCTGTCCTCCCTGAGGCCCTTGGTTCCCTGCTTTCCTGGAAGGAGACACCAGCAATGGTCTCAGACAGTGGAGGGGGCCTGGAATCTTCAAAGGAAAAGTCAATTTTATTCTCTCTGCTCACAACAGTAGAGCAAAGAGACAAGGAGACAGTCCAGAGCAGCAGCAAGAAAAATTCACAACAAAGTCTTTAGAACAACCTAAGCAAACAGTGCTCTTAACACAATAGTGCATTTCGTTACTGATTTATTTCCCTGTAATATTTCTTAGAGTTGGTACTCAACTACACCCACACCACCACCCCGACACACACACTAGTTTTATATATAAAACTTTTCTCTATGCTATTACAAACTTGCCAACCTCGTTTTTCAAAACTATGTAGCATTCCTTAGTACAGGATGTTCTTAATGTGCCCCCTGTCATAGAGTATTTAGATGGTATTGGGTTTCGTTGAGGTACTTGTGGCTGTGATGTATGTACTCCTGGCTTTTTCTCATTGAATTTTAGTTACAGGATGGGAGAAGCAGGCAAGATGAAGGCTCTGAAAAGACTTCGTGGCAGTTGTTTCTGGATTTCAGAGTGTGCTTTTGGATTGTCGTCGCCACAGGCCCCTTTGATAACGGTAGATGAGACATACTCCTGCCTCGCGCCTCCCAGCTTTGGGGCCCTCACTCCGTCCGGACGCTTGCTCCTTTGTTGGGATGCTTGAATGATAGGCCTTTTTGCAAATACCCTTGGTGCACAACATGCAACTGGGATTCAGGGAAGCTTGAGCTGTCTCTAATTCTCACACATCTTACTTTGTCAAAACAACAAAAAAGACTTCCTGTCAGCCAGAAATACCTTGAACTTAAACAAGGAAGTGTTGCCAGTTTCTTGTAGTGGGTAGCCATTCCAGCTTTGGTCTGGAAGTTCCAACCCCCATTGAGGCTTCAGTAACTATTATACCTACAAGGTGGGGCCAAGGGAGGTCCCTGAAGACCAGAGAATGGGACACGCTTTCTTGCTGCTGGGAGCCCAGATGCTAGAGGAGCCTGCATGCTAGAGGTGGACCGACAGAGTTCTCCAGAGAACACCACCGGACTACACTGCATCTTTCCCAGAACCCTCAACCTACCTATCCCTTCATTTGTAAGTTACGCCATTAAATAAATCTCCTTTTAACTACGTGGAGTGGCCTTAATAATTTCACCAATAGTTTCTTTTCCTTCCTTCCTCCTCCTATTCTTCCTCTTCCTCCTCCTCCTATTCTTCTTTCTCCTCCTCCTCTTCTCTTATTCTTTTAATAAGAGCATTCCAAGAGCTAGCTACTCAGGGAATGTTCAGCTGTCTAATGATGCTGTCTATGTCTATGTCAATGATGCCGGGTTCTGTCTTCCATTCTTGAGAAGGGCGCATTTGTTTTCACACTTGCTGCCCCATGGCCCCATTATGATCGCCACACCTCCATGTACCAGGTTCTCCTCCAGGGTATAAAGAGAAAGGAAAATCAAGGGAGCAAATGGCCTTGTCATCAAGCCTCTTTGCTGTGTCGGGAAGACAAAAGCTTTCCTTAAAGCCTACACAGATTTTTTTGCTTGCATTTCCATAAGCCAGAAACAAGTTGTATGGCCATTCCTAAACAAGTTACTAGTGAACAGAAAAGTGTTACCAAGATTCACACCCAGGGCTCAGTGATGGCTGCCTTTGTGGTGAGAGAAAAAAACAAATAGGAGAATAAAACAGAAAGGACTAAAACAGGGAAGAACAGGGTGGAGTTCATGAGAAGGAGCTCACCAGGAAGAAGATTTCACCATGGACTTAGTGGAAGATGGGATCATTTCACCTCAGAAGGATACTTTCGTTGGCTGATACCCATTCCGCTGGCCCCAAAGAGTAGCTAACCAGGGCTAGGGAGCTCACGATGTTCCACAATGAGAAGAGAAATGTGCAGTGTGAATCGATGGCGCCTGGAATTGGGGTAGCCATGTTGCCTCCATGAGGGATCCAGGTTGGAGATCTAGACTGAGGACCTGTGCTCAGATGAAGGGACAGAATTGGAGCCAAGATCTTGATTTCAATGTAACTGTGGCACACGTGACTTCTAGACTTTTTTCAGTTACAAATGTTAGCTAATATGTTCTCAGGGTTGTGCAAATGAGCTTATCAAGCAACCAGAAGAATGGTAACCGACCGAGATGCAAACGGGAAGTCACCAAAAAGGGCTGCATAAGGGTGATATAGTTTTGAAAAACTGCGTTGGGCCAAATTTGACCAACACATTCTGGCTTGAGTTGATTGGACCTGCTGATGTGCACTGTGGTACCCTGATGTGATGCTTCCAGCAGTGAGAAGGCTCTCATCATGGGATACACTGTTGCCCAGCCTGACCCTTCCCTGTGAGCTTTAGGCCTGCACCAAGGTCAGACCTAAAATTCTCATGGACAGAGGCCTGCGGAGACATAGGGGGAGGGGCAGTGTTTTGGTTCCTCAAATGCTTCCCCAATGGCTGCGGGGCTTCCTCCTGTGGGAGGCCTTGTGTCAACAGGCAAGGTTGGCAGCTGATCAGAAGTAGACAAGAAAAAAAAAATCCCAGGAAGCTCCAGAGAGCCTGGGCAGCTTTGGCATGAAGAGGTGAGAGGAAGTGGAAGGGCAGATAGCATGTGCCTGCTCCTGCCCAGGCGGAGGCTGCTGGCTATATTCCCTGTGGCTCTGAGCAGAGGCCTTCCCTGGGGTGCAGTTGTCTTGCGTGGGAAATGCATGGCCAGGGACAAACTGACAGCTGTCTCCAGGCCACAGTCAGGGCTGGATTTATGAGTTCTTCCTCATCACCAGGCTGTGGTGGCCTGCTAGAGAGAGATGGATGACACTTAGTCCTGCTCTCCTGGAGCACCAGTGTGTGAAGACACACATGTAGTACAAATCTGCATGTAACTGACAGGCAACAGAGGTTGGGGGGGCGGGGACTAACAAGTTGTAACCTATCTAGTTGACTCTTTCAAATGATTTTAATTCCAATTAACTTGGAACGCTCTGGTCTTGAGACAGTATCAGACTCGGTGGGAGAGCGGGCCGACGGCTGGGCACTGTTGGTGATGTCGTGGGCCCATGGCTACCTGTAGTGCCCACAGTCTTGAAGTACAACATGAGTGGGATGGGGGGTAAATGGGCTGTGGGGCAGAAGGAGCCCTACCTGGGTGTGTATGACCTGGGAAGGATGCACTGGCCCTGAAGTTGGCAGATGGGTGGGACCTGGCCACCAAGTAATGTGAGGACTCTACATGAGATGAACAGGCGTGAGAGCCTCTCTGTGCATGTGCTTGGGGCATAGCTTCTTCTGTCTGCTGGGGGATGAGTGTGGAGGCCGAGGGGGGAAAGCCATGAAGAGTAGAGACAGACCAGACAGGACCCAGAGGTCATTATAACGGTTCTGGAGCCTGTGTTTAGGCATGGGGGTTATAGTGAAGTCTAAACAATGATAGTTTTGTGCTGTTCAGGAAGTCTTCTCTCTTACTTCTGGGAGGATAGGTGGGAGGGCCGAGAGAGAGGAGGCCAGGCTGGTCAGGGCTGTGGAGAAGGACAAGGAAGCAGGTGTGGGTAGGCGTCTGCAGAGCTTGGCCCCTGTTCTCTCCACAGGGGCACAGGGCAGCTTGTTGCTGCAAGGACTAGTTTCTCTGGTGAGTTTTCTGTCCCCTTTGCGGATTTTTGAGTAAAAAAACAACTCACATCCTGCCATTATGGAGCTGGGATGGCTCAGCTATATGGGGGCTCAGGGCCTTCAGGGCCAGGCTCTGGGAGATGGCCCTTGACAACAGTCCTCCAACAAAGTCAACAAGATATCTCAGGAAGATTGGAAGGGGTACTGAAGAAAGAGCCTTGGGGTCCTTGTCAGCCTTTATAACAATGCTGCTGGTTAGGTTTCGTCAACTGATACAAGTTAGGATCGCCTGGAAAGAGGGAAACTCAATCAAGAAAATGCCTCCATCATATTGGCCTGTAGGTAAGGCTGTAGGGGAATTTTATTGATTGATGACTGATGTAGGAGAGTCCAGCACTGTGGGCAGTGCCACCCCTGGGCAGGTGGTCCTGGTTTGTATAAAAACTTGGCTGAGCAAGCCATGAGAGGGAGCCCGTAAGCAGCGCTCCTCCATGGTCTCTCTTTTGCTCCTTCAGTGATGACTGTGATCTAGAGATGTAAGCCAAATAAACCCTTTCCTCCCCAGGCTGCTTTTGGCCCTCATGTTCTTATCACGGCCACATAAACTGAACTAGGACAACATCAATAATGATAAGGGCCTCCCACCTGTTATCAGTTGATCCTGCAGGGTGCACCCCAAATCTAAACCCTGATGTTCCATCCACCACCTCCACCTCTATCCCAGGTACCCTAAGTTCTAATGCCCCCCGCTCTTCTACAAGCTGTTCTTGAAGAATCCTGTTAGTGCAGATCTCAGCTCACAGTAGGAAACTGATAGGTTCCTGTGGCATTCATGGGTAAAGCCAAGAGCCCCACGTTATCTGCTCCAACTGGGGGTCCAGTCCCTAACCCTTTCACTGAATTTCCCATCCCTGCTCCCCTGACCTTGTCACCGGACTTTCCGTCCTTCCCCACCACCCCGCTTTTCTGTTCTTTCCACTGACTGACCGTGGAAACAAACACTTCCCAAGACAGTCACATGGTTCCCTTCGTTGTTGGTGATAGCAGGGAGGGAAATCCGGCTCCTAGGCTGCAGCAGCCCGTGGTGGAGTCCCCTTACTGCAGCAGCCCGTGGTGGAGTCCCCTTACTCCTTACCCAGCGCTCCACTCAAGGAAAGCCCAAACCTATGACGGCAACAGAAAGGAATTTCACAACCAGTCAGCATGAAACAGAGCTGTGGGGTATTAAAAGAGATTTAAAAATATTTCTTCAAGTTCATAATACAATTACATCATTTCTCCCTTCCCTTTCCTCCTTCCAAACCCTCCCTTAAATCCCGTCTTGCTCTCTTTCAAATCATGGCCTCTTTCCAAAAGAGCTTTTTAAACATGGATTTAATGCCTGGGGATCAGTAGAAAGAAAACTGTTCAGGGAAAGAATAAGACATCCCCTAAGCATGAGTATGGGCTTTTCAAGGGAAAGCCACGCTTCATGGCCCTTAAAAAAATCCATGTATTATTTATTTTTATTTATTTATTTTTCAGTAGTCCATCCACATACACAGTGTACTGTGATTAAAGTCTTCCCTTGCTCCCTGTCATCCCTGTCTTTCCACTCTGAAGTCCTTCTTCCCAGCTAGACCCTCCATGGCTACACCACTGAAGAAAATGCCATCTCCTATAGCGATTATAAACACTCAAAAGTTCCTTGGGGGAAGAGGGGGAGCCTGCCCCAAGCTGAGAGGGACATAAACATAGGCTTGTAAACATAAATATTTAGAAGGAAGTGTGGCAACCTGTCCATTTAGGGAAGCAACAATAGTATGTTCCCCTTTGGGCTCGTGACTCACTCAGTCACAGGCTTTCAGCCAGGTTTATGGTACTGAATGTGTATGCCCTCCTATGGAAGGGGCCTCCTGTACAGGCTGGTTACCCCCACTGTAGTCATGTCACTCTTCCGCAAGTGGGAAGCAGGTGCTGCGGCAAGCATGTTCTAGAGTGGACGAGACCGTGATGATCATCCCCCCACCACCATCCCCACCCCCATCCAGCAGCCTGCTTAGCAGGTTTTAACACTTACATATGCGGCCAGCAGAGAGGAAGTTTCCGGCTCAATTCCAGTTTGGTTTCTCCACATCCTGTAACCAAAGTATGTGGTGTCTCCAGCAGTAGGACTCTAACATCTAGTGTTGGTAGGATGCCAAAAGTGATGATAATAGCCACTACGCTTTGGGGAAGCTGCCTAGCTTCACAAGAGTCATATATATGTGTATGTATATACATATATAAACACATATATGTGTGTTTATATATTATATATGTAATTTTGGTAATTGTAAAGTTATTGTCTTCAAAGAGTTGTGAGACTTAGTCTTTAATGGCTGGTGCATTTCTCCAGCCCGTGCTAAGAAATTTAAATGAAATCATAATGGCTCATGAGATAAACCAGACAGGAATCCAGACAAAACTCTAGATCACAGGGATCACAGTTAGGGTATCTTTACTGTAAACAAATATTCAGCGTATCGTTGTTGGGATTCCCAGAATGTATACAAGAGAAGTGGGACTCTACTTGAGACCATAAATACCCAGACCTGAAGTCTGTTTTGATGCTATTTTAACATCCTTACTTGAAGATATCTGTAGAAGAAATACTCCCCCTATGTCAGTAACCTTCACAGCTACTGTTGATAGCGCTGGAATCCTCAATTCTCAGCTCTGAGAGGCATCACGGAGGCGCTGGACCGAGAGGCTCTCTTTCTGTTTGTCGATGAACCCTCGACTTTCCCTTTCTTGCTGCACGCTACCCAGTTTAGATTGTTGTTCAAATGTTACCTTCTTATTCAGACCCTGCCCAAGCATCTTATTTAAAAATGCACCCTCAACTCTCTTCCTCAGGTCCCCTTCTGTGACTTTCTTCACTGGCTCAGCCACCATGTAACAGAACATTTTATTTATCTATCAGTCCAACATCCCCGCTCTCGCCCCCTTAGCCTGTGAGCTCCGGAGGGCTGCATTAAGAACAGCTCAGAGCCTTCGGCGGCTGCCCAGTTTCCCAGAAACAGAGTTTCCATCCTGATCACTGTTGAAGCCTTGGTGCTGAAAGAAGTTGGCACAGGTGGCGATGCCATCATGTTTGCTCAGGGATGTGGGCACTATCCCACCAAGCATGGTGCACCTGGGGCTGCGCTTCAACCTCTGCCACATCCAGAGAGTTGGTGCTGCAGCTGGAGATGTCTGCATCAGAGGTTTGCTACGAAACCATTACTGAGTTGTCGTTTTCTCCTGTGTCCAGTCTAATTCTAATCTCATCTCCAGAATCCTTCCTCTCTGGCATCATGGCTCATTAGCATGGGGTTAGTGTGGCCAGCCAGCTTTTCCTCTTCTGAAACTTCCCATCTGTTTGTGCATGCTGTCCATCTTTTCTATTAGGTCCTTTAATCACTTTGTAATGATTTGCATTGTATATGTATGTGTACCATGTGCATGCATACATAATGTAAGCCAGTGGTTTAAACTTCTGGTTTAATAATAGATGGCTGTTTATTGAGTATCATGAGTCGAGCACTGAAACAGTGATTTTAATCTTTTCAACCAGAGATTTAGATGAGAAAATTGGGGCTCAGTAACTATAGGTTACTTGTCTGGCTAAAAGTGTCCCAGCCCTCTGGCAGACTGACTGCAGAGCCTTTGTTATAATTGGCTCTCCTGGGCTGCTGGGCTGATGCCATCTATTTGCTGTCCTGAAGACCTTCACTCAGCTCGCCAATTTATCCACACCAAAGGATCCAGGTGGCTCATCCCCATGGCACCTCACTGTGGCTTAAATTCCAGCACCTCCAATGCCTTCCAGCCCCTGCCATCTGGCCCCATCTGCCACTCCCTTCCTCTCCCCAGAGCCTCTCCAGCAGGGTGCCAAGCTGGTCCCAGCCTTTGCCAGGAGGATACCACACCAGTCCCCATGGTTTTCTGTCTCCTTACTCTTCTTACCCCACGTCCAATCTCGGTTTACTCTCTCATTCACTGGGCCTACTCATTCAACATAAACGACATGGTTGAGCTCTGGTCTTTCTACTTACCAGTTGTACGACTTACATGATCAGTCTGTCTCTCTGCGTCTTTGTTTATTTGTAAAGCAGAGATAATGAGAGAGCCCGTCTCCGGAAGTCCACACGAAGACTCAGCAAGCTAGACCAAGGGCCATCATAGAACAGCTGTCTCAAGAAAGGCAGCTGTGACACAGTGGTGGCACAGACCCAAGACTTCTCTGGGATACCCCCTTCTCCAGCTGAGATGCAAGAGGACTGTGAAAGGAATTCCTATGGCCGAAGCTAGAGATGGCCCAGGCCCCAAGCTGGGCCTCCCTTCGCTTGCCTGCCTATTTAGCCGCTTGGCTGGTCAGGTCAGAGTCCAGCTGGCCGAGCTGTGGCATGAATTCTCCTGCACTCCCTCCCCTTGTCCCCATGCCAGCTACATTGGATTTTTGTCACCAGAGACAGGCCACAAATGACAAACATGAGAGTTTGCCCGAATAAAGACACTTCCTTCCGAAGGAATGGAGTGCTCAGGAGGACAGAGACCCAGACAGGCAAACACACAGACAGAACTCGATGTAACAACAGCTCACACGCTGTGCCCAGGATTTATTTCATGTATATTAATTGATATGATTCCAGAATTGGAATTTCTGGGCCATATGTAATCCTCTGATCTAGTGCTTTATGTAACAACTTGATAAAGTCGTTTTTTTAAAAAATGATTATTCCCATTTTACTGATATGGAAGATGAACCAAAGAGGGGGTTAAATTTGCCCAAGGTCATATCAGGCCAGTGGCAGACCTATATTATAACCTAGGGAATCACACTACCTGGATAGAACTCTGGAGACTGTGTGACCATGGTGTGCATGTAGAATGACATATGCTTGGTTGTAGACATTTGAATGCAGATGCTGTACCCTGATGGACATGAAGACCTTCCTGTAGATGCATGAGGTGGGACAAAGATACCCACCCACACTTACAGGTGGGGGTGGCTAAGAAATCACTGTTGACCTCATGGGAGCCAGAACATAATAATATATATGTATACTCAGGCACATCTGCACTCAGAGGTAGGTACACTCATGGGCACACATTCTAAGACTGCTCCCACATGTACACAATCACATGGATTCAGTGGCAGCTCCAGAGGGACAGGTGCTCCTCTGCAATTCCTATCATGTCTGACACTAACATGTGCTCAGCTCATGCCTTGTGGCTTCCTGTCTGGGAAAAGTCCATCCGTTTATAGTTAAGAGCCCTGGCTTAGTCAGATAGGCCCATGATCCTACTATGAGGCAGGTGACTTCCTGTTCTAAAGCTTGGGTCTTTCCAAAGAGTGTGCCTTCCAGCTCCAGTGTTTGCCTGGCTGTTGTGCCGATGTATTAGGGATGCCCCCACCCAAGGCTCTTGTCCCAGATGGATCCAAATGGCTTCTTCCTACATCTCTTTCAGGTATGTGCTTAACCACCGTTCCCCAGCCAGACTTTCTAGGTTTCCTGGTGAAATTATAACTCTCTAGCTCTGCTCTTGACCTCCCCTCCCCCAGAACTCTATTCCTGTCTTCCTAGCACCCTTCCCTGAAACTCCTTTAAGTTTTCTGTTTGCTGTTACTCTCTTCTGCTACAGTGTAAGCTCCATAAAGGGGTGTCTTCTGAGCCCAGGACAGGCCTGATGTGTGGTAGGCGTGACCTTCACTGTGACCTTGTTGGGAGGTTTTAAAGAATCACCACGGGCACTTGAAGGGATGGAGAGAGCACGGCTATCTCAGAACTCCTTTTGAACATCACCAGCTTCCACACAACTACGTCTCTACTGGAAGAGTCTGCTGAAACGTGGGGTGAATAAGAGTCCACAGCCAGCCGGTGATTTCAGCCCGGTCTCTGGCTCAGTACTGTTTGCATGGGGCGTCTTTCCACATTGACATCTTTGAAGATACAGCACCACAGGAATATCATGAGTATATTCTGGGCATGGCTGAGGTCACCCTCCATTCTTCCAACCGGTGCTTATAGAACACATACTGTGTGCCACTGTGCACAGTTGCAGTGTTTTTTTAAAAAAAGATATAATATTCCATCACGTAATATCTACCATTTTAGCTGCTTTTAACATGGCCCATTCACAGTAAGTGCATTTATACTGTTGTGCAATCATTGTTACAGTCCATCTTCAGAACCTCCTTACCTTTTAAAACTGAAATTCTGTATCCATTAAACACAGTCTCTCCACCCTGTCAACTACTGCTTCTTCTGTTGCTATGGATTTGACTATTCTGGAAACCTCATGTAAATGGAAGCACACAGTATTTGTTCTTCTGTGACTTACTAATTCATTTAGTATAATGCACTCAAGGTCTATGTATATTGTAACAGCAGAAACTCATTCATTCTTTTTTGAAGCTGAATACTATCCCACCGTTTGCACAGCATATGTTATCTGTTCTTTCATCAGCAGACACAGGTTGCCGCCACATGTTGGCTACTGGGACTACTTTGAGATAAGTTCTCATATATTCTAGGCTGGCCTCAAACTCGTTATCTAGCTGAAGATGACCTTGAATTTCTGATCTTCCTGTCTTCACCTTCCAAGTGCTAGGATTATAGGCATTTTAGGTGGTCCAGGGGATCAAGCATGGACCTCACTGACGATGGGCAAACACTCTACCAAGTACGCTTGACCCGAGCTCCAACAAATTTATTTTTGA